CAGTGAAACATTACCTCATCTTCTTCGTAGCTGGGAGTGAGGAAGTAAGCCAAGCCGCTGAGCAGGCCCCAAACGCCTCCGTGTTTCTCCTCATTCAGGAGTTTGTCAAGCGGGCAGAGGAACTGAAATACTGGTTGAGTGTGGCCGATCAGATTATCGGAAACCAGTTCCTGGGAAGGGAAATGACACATTGTTAAGACATGACACACTTTAAGTGTTTATCTATCAACTTGTGATCTCTCTCACTTGCAGGAAGTGCTCCACTGATACTCTTGCTTCTTCTTTAACTTTATCGTTGACCTCCATCTCCTCCAGCACCAAGACCCCGGGTAGGCTGGTGGAGTCCTGGATAAAGACAAGAAAAAAAAAGAAAACAATTAAAAGCCTAAAGCTGACCTAAGAGACCTTAATCAGTTTTTACAGTTGAAGGCTTAGAACTGTAACATGTGGTCATCAAAGCGCTGTCTGTTCACCTGTGAACTCCTCGTACGTGATGAGGATTTGTGCAAGCTCAGGCATCTCAAGTTTCTTATCTTTAGCACATGTTATGATGTCGCCTAGTAACTACCTACCAACGTGCTAAACAACTCCTCTGTAGCATCTATGCACCTTAGACAAGCATCCGTATCATTTTGATATCAGTATAACATCATTTACATCCACAAAGCTTCAGTTATATGATGTTGGAATCACCTTTGACTAATGATAATAATAGTGTAGAATGGGCAAATACTAGTCAATATAACTGAAAACATTTCTCAATGTTTCATGCTGACATTTCGGCTGCTGGGAACGCCTCGTAATGAATACAGACTGAAAAAGCGCGCGTGGCATTTCAAAATAATAGGTCACTCATTTAATTCTTAGGAAATGCAGTCTCACTATACTGCTACCAAGAAGTTAATACATGCACTGTTGTTCACACCAGCTCCACCTCAACTCTTGAGTCACTGCTTCCCTGAATGTAAACGCCAAAATTATCAAGTCTTTCATGAGATAACACTAATGTTACATTTACAATGTAAAGATGAAATATAACTAAAACATAAGAGCATGGTGTGCTTATTTTGTATTTTATTTCTTTTTTTGTAGTTTTTATGTGACGAAGACCTTTTTATTGCTAATGCACACAGCAGCGGTGGCACTCCTAGCATCCTAACCTGTAGAAACCACCAGCAAAGTCTTTCTACACTATTCTATATCCACATATACACAGAGTCAGAATCCATCCTATGTAAACAAAAAAGTGCATTTAAAAGTTGATCTGAATTTAACATGAGGTGTCACTGACATCTTCCAGAGTTGCACTGTTTTTGGTACAAGACTGAAACTTTTCTAAACCAGCATAGGGAGAAAGGACGACTTAAAGTAGGTAGAAGTTTTATTTGGAATGAAACTTGTCCTTTAGACATTTGAGGACATAGCTTGCCTTCTCATCGCTCACTGACAAGCACTTTTCAAAAACCAAGTGACAGACACTAATTGAAAAGGTGATTGACGTCCCCTCACTTCTGTATCATTATCTCGTTTGCTTGCATGCACCTTGGACATGATCATCCATCCACCTTAAATCCACCACAGTGCCTACACAAGGAGACGCACAGCCAGATCCTCTCACAGTCACATCTAGTCAAATCACCGTGTCTTTGGACTGTGGGAGGAAGCTCAAATATCCAGAGGAAAACCACGACTGTGCTAAACACTGCTTCACAGTGCCTCCCTGCATGCGAAGTCAATGACTCAGATAATCATTCAATTCACAGAGGATCAAGCCAATAATTGATTTAATTCAACAAGACTCTCCGTAGCTCCCCAAACACAGTTCAGCTTAGTGAAAGGAAGGGAAGCAAATCCAGTGACAAGTCAATCTAGGTAAGGTAACTTTATTTATACCCATACGTAAGGTAAATTTGCTTTACAGAAAAATGATAGCATTTGGCATCCCTTCAAAAACAGACATACCTAATAAATATAAACCTCACTGTAGCACATATATAGTAATTTAACGTTTCGAATCAAAAACAGTTCTTATTTAATTCAGTAACAGCAACAGGGACAAAGCTGTTTCTATAACGCTTTGTCCTGAGGAAAGAAGCTGAAATTCACCCCGTAGAGGATGGGAACCATTTTTAAGGATTTATAAAGCCTGTTTAGAGAACAGGGAGGCTGAACAAGACTGTGGCTCACCTATCAGACGACTGGACCATCTCACGATCCGATTCAGTGAGTTTTTCTCTGTGACAGAGGTCTGACCAACCCATGCCACCAAACAAAGGATAAAACAGACTCAACAAAAGAACGATAAAACTAAGTTAAAATTTTTTGGCCAATGTGGAAATGAGCAAGTTTCCTGAGGCAGTAAAGGTGCTGGTGACCCTTTTTACAAACTGTTTTGCAATTCTGATCAAAGTTCAGTTTTTACATAATGACAGGGAGGAATGAAATTCAGCTAATACTTTATTCTATTTATAATAACTACATTCATTGAGCAATTCGTTACATAAATCTGTTTAACTGCTTCTTAGTACGAATATCTAATCGGCCAATTACATGGCAGTCGATGCACGTAGACACAGTCAAGACAGTCTGCTGTATTTCAAACCGAGGATCAGAATGAGAAAGAAAAGGCAATTTAACAGTCTTTGAATTTGGAATTTGTCCGTTTTTTGGTGACAGATGGGCTGATCTGCCTATTTCAGACACTGCTGCTCTCCTGTGATTTTCCCACAATCATCTCTAGTGTTCAAAGGAAAAAGAAAATATCCACTCAGCATCAGCTCTCTGGGTGAAAATGTCTTGTTGATGCCAGTGGCCAAAGGAGAATGGCCAGACTGTTTGAGTTTATAGGAATGTAAAGTTACAACCAAGGCATGCAGAATAGTATCTCTGAACAAGCAACATGCAGATAAACTACAGCAGAAGACCACACTGGGTTTCAATCATTTCCGCTAAGGGAACTCAGGCTACAATTCCCGCGGCCCCACCAAAAGAGGAAAACAGCGACTGGGAAAGCACTGCCTGCTCTTACAAGTCCTTTTCTGCTGCAACTTCTGGATGGCATGGATCCATCCTTACCTTGAATCAAC